GAATTATATTCTTGGTCATCATGGGAGATGAGATACAATCATCTGCTTGGCTTTATTTTCCCTTGGTTTGTTGGAGAATTTCTATTGTGCTGTTGTTGAGGAAAAGTTTGCTAGAAAAAAGTTTTATGCCAATTACTTATTCTAGTGTATATGAAAGAGACTATTGAATATTGGTTAATATGAATTTAAAAGTTTGGTTGTTTCAATGTTGAAATTGGTGCAAAGTAGTCACAATTTTTTGACATTCCAAGAATGGTTTTATTCATTTTTTTTTTTCTTTCAAATTGGGAAGACTTTCGAAGATACTAATAAATGAGGAGAAATTAAAAAATTTGAGCCATAAATTTGAGGTGTATTAGAAGTAGTTTTATTAAAATTTAATTGTTAATAACAATTTTATATTTTTTTACAATTGATATATTTGAGGACAATATTGTCCAGAAATCAGGAAATTTACATGTACATCATGCACTTGTATCATTAATTTCGATGAAATATGTATATTTAACCCATTATAAGAATACACAAATTTTTGTGTCAGACTTTAATCGTTAGATGAGTTGACCTGTTATTCTTTTTTAACAAAATGTATACTTATATTATAAATGCTACACTTTTCGTTTATCTTTACCTCTTTTTTTGGGTACACTCGTTTATCTCATCTTGTACAATGCTTTAATTTATTAAAAAAAAAAAAAATCACCACTTAACTTTCAATTTGTTTGTTACCCTTGGAGTTATGTGAATTCTTTTGATTATTGTGTTTGATCCCAATGCAATTTTGACTCAATATTTATATACTTCAAACATAAAAAAAAATGGTGTCTAGCATGTACTCTGTTTTTTTGGTTTTATATTGCATTCAACGTTTCAGGGAAAAGAAAAAACATAAAAAAAATGGTACGTACACAAATATTTACGTGTAGTAGACACGTACAATATCACCCATATGCTTCAATAAAATAATGCACAATGATCGTGTGTACGTGCGTATACTCAATTCATTCCCAAGTATGTAGAGATATATTTGATTTTTTTAACAAAAAAATAACCTTACTACTAGCATTTCATTATCATTTTTTTTCCTTAATTTTCCTGGAAACAATGATGAATTTCATGGGCTAATCACAAACGATATTTCTAAACATATATTATGCAACATGCATCAAGTCTAACCACTGCAATTGATTAGTCAAAAGTGGTGGAACAGAATTTTGTTTAACATATATAATTGATCATAGCAATTATCATCCTAAATGACCTCAAATTAAATATAGTAAGGAGGTCCATAACCCTGTTCATGTGCATTAAAAAATGAAATTGTCACATATTGTTATTGTTGTTAATTTGGAATGAAGCAGATAAAAAACAAATAATTTTTTTATGAGGTAGCCTACAATTAATTAAGCAGTCATATTAAAATGTCATAAATAAATAAAATTATGATATTTCACTAAAAAGTATATTTTAAAAGGTAAGAAATAATTAACGACAGAAATGTCTAACAACAACATTTGTGAAAAAAAAAAATATATATTGTAAAGTCAAATGTTGTAGGCTTTTTTATTATTATTAAAGCTACAATTGTTAAGAAAAAATTGTTGGTGCTCATAGTTTATAAAGAAAACTTAACATTTAATTTCTATTTTCTCTGCCTAAACAACAAAATGTGGGCATATAATCATTTGATAAAAGACTAAGACAAATAAGGGTTTTTATTGAGGGGCCACAACAGATGGGATAGGAATATGGGCATTTATACACTGATCCCTTTTTCTGTTCTTGTTAGATATGATTTTGTCTCTTTATTTTCTTGCTCATGATAAAAAGTTACAGTGCATATATTTAATTATTTATATATTTTGGACAACCAATTTTTAATTTATTTGTAAACAAAGAAAAAAAAGAAAAGAAAAATAGTTGGACCCCATGATACTTCATACATATGCCCATGCCTAATTCAGAAGTTTGCTAGAAACATTTCCATTGAAGATTTGTAATAGCTTTGAAAGCCTAGTTTATAGTTCAAGAACTCTAGACACTATAGTTTAGGGTTCATTAATTAAGAAAATTTTAACTTTAATTATGAGCTTTTGGTATGTGTAATCTTTGTCAGATCTATGCTATTTCATATATATAGACACGCTTGACTGTTAGCTAATTTTACGTTTTCAACAAATATTAATATTTTCAAATACAATTGTCGTAGTTTAAATAAAATTAATAAAATTATATAATATTTTACAGTATAATTATGCATATTTATTCTAAACTGTTACAGATCTGTCCATCTAATCATTTAATTGTCTCACATAAAAATTTGTGTTACATAAAGAACATTATATATATATATATATATATATTACTTAAATTCAAAGTTCTTATTATAATTATAAATATATATTTCTTAAATTCAAAGTTCTTATTATAATTATATACTTTGGTGGAAGGCTATAGCTTAAAAGAAACTCTTATTTCAATTAGTAAGGCTTTAAATATTCATAAATTTAGTTTCTCTTTTGTGTATATTTAGTTAGTTGCAATATACACAATAAGATAACATTAGTATATTTAATCAGCTCGAGTGGTGCGCAATTTGAAGACCTCAATATCTAGATTATTTTTTTCTTTTACCAAATTCGTATTTTGATAATTTACTGTATATTAATAGTCTACTTTTCCCCAAATTAAAAATGAAAAGGTTGATTATCATTAGATGAACCCTAGCTAACACCCTCCTCACATGATTAACAGGTACAAATTTGAAACTGATTAATCACAGTTGTAGGCTATAATTAAAGTTAAATTCAATTAGCTGTTGTCAACTTCTTGTTAACTTAGAATTATTTTCCGTGCACTCTATGCTAATTACTCTTGTCAGACTAATTACTATTCACTCACATTCTTTTAAAATTTAACACATAAATTAAGAAAAAAATTCTTGTCAGTTTTAGCCTTATTCAAAGCAAATTAATATTAATTAATTTTTTTATTTTCAGTTTTTCTATGTTCTTTTAAAAAAGAAAACTCATCGCTTCCCACAATAATCTTCCTCCCAAAACGTACGTAGTATTGTATAAATCAAATGAGGGTAACAATAATGAAAATATATGTATAAAAGATTCAAAACATTATTTATTTGACTAATGACTAATAAAGCCAAAATGACAAATAAAAAGAATATGAAGTAGTATTTGACATGGTGGTTTAAATTCAATAAATTAAATATATGTGGTATATATCACTCTGGTTTATGCACTCCTAAATCACAAATGTTTTTCTAGGTTGTTTAATTGTTAACCATACCTTATATAAAAATATGCATATTTGTACAATAAAAAGAGTTGTACACTTACACTTCTTGTGTTTATATTGTATTTTAAACTATAATATTTAATTACAAAAGCTATGAACATTTGTTGAAAGATTATGATTATCTAATCGCTATGTAGCATGATAAGATTTTGATTGTCTAACCATTAGACAACCTAATAGAAGGCCCATCACTCAGAAATCTTTATGATGCTAATTTGCAACGGGTGTTTAAAGCAATTCCTCTTTTATCTCGTCTTATAATGAAAAATAATCAAAATTATGAAAAATTAATTCTGAATGGGATAAACACGTAATTAACAAGTGTCCACGTTCACAAATTAGTGTGTGAGATAACTTAACGGCTAGAGTAATCTATCTCATACTTTTTGAATAACAATAAACACATATATGATAATTAAATGTCTTATTTTTTTTATATTATTTCAAAACAGTGTGAAAAGTATTCCAATGGTTGGTCAGCCTAACAATAGCCCAACCGTTCACATTCTCATTTATCTCCCATTATATTTGTACACCAAAATACACATCTTATATATGCCCAAATTTTCAAAAACATGTTAGAGATAAAATTACAGGCATTGCAATATGAACAAATTTACCAACCAAGAAACAAAAAGGGAATCAAATTCTCTGTTACAACAATTTCATGATCTGTAAAAATATTTGGTGCAGTGGGCAAAGAGCCTTTAAAACTATTAATTGCATTTGGAAAAACACCATCATTTAAAGCAGAGGAAATCTAAATATTGCTGTGCAAGCAACTAAAAAGATCTATCTTTCCTCATTGCATTTTTATTCCTTTTTCATAAGTTTTAAGTTTTCCTTTTCACTTTTTTTCCACAACTTTTGCTTGCAATTTTGGTCAAAGTCATGGTGTTGGTGTTAGCATCATTTCAAAATCAAATCCTACACGAAATATCACATTATATGGTCTTCAATTGTTGAGTGGCCTAGCTACATTATATAATTATTGCTTGGAATAGTAAAACCCATCAAATATCCCTAATTTTTTTTTTCCATTTTAATCTAATTAATAACAAGCGTGCACACACATAAACACAAATACGTTTTATTAATAATTTTCAAAAATTGAAATTGTGATGACATGGCAAAGGTAGAAAAACGTAGCATGTCTAAAATTAACTACTATATCAGTACAAAACTTTAGTTGACCAACAACAAGAATCTACACACACATCTGAAAGCTGTGAAACAGAACAGACCAAAATGAATATAATCGATTTAGTCTGATTATTTATACATGGACCAATATATATGTACATAACTTTATATATGCATTAATCGGTTTTGGTTCTCGGTTTTTATGCTTTGGTTTTTCACCTTTATATCCAAATTTTCATTTTTTATGATATCATATGTATGAGATTTTGTATTTTTTTTTTTTTTATCTTGTCTTAAATCAAAACCATCAACGGTT